CTAAGCTTTATTATATATCATTCTGTTATTTTATAAAACAGCAACTTCGTCCCTTCCCCCTTCTTTATCTTTTATCTTGGCTACATTTTTGCTTTAACACAGCAGTTTAAAGATTGCAGTTAGTTCTGGGGTGGGGATGTGTGATGTAATCAACCTCAAGATAGTCTTTACGCTTCCTTTCATCCACTACAATACTGAAATTTGTGCTCTGAGATCAGCATTTACTCGTATTTCTTTATGCTCCTTCAATTATATAAAAAGGAAGGTCTGTAGCCTTAGGCCTTTTTTTTTTTTTTCCCCCTGAAAACACTCTTACATTAGCACCATGTTATTTAATGATTTTGGTGCATGACAGTGGGTTCAGGGAAAGAGCAGTGCTTTGGCGATAACAGTCATTTTATAGCCAGTTTTTGCAAATAGCTTTTTATCATTTAAGTGGGGTTTTTCTGGAGGTGGGTTATTTCTCTTTCTTTTTTCCTGTCTTTGGGCATTCAGTAATGGAGGAGAAGCCCTCAGGAGGGAATCCTTCCTTTTATAGAAGTTCTGAGGTGTTTCAGGCTTTCCCAGATTGGCCTGCGTCCTGCTTTCCCTGTGTCTGCCCTGTTTCAGGCATAACATCATATTTTAATTCCCAGGAACGTTCTGCACATGGCTTAGGCTCTTTGTGAAGGCTGCATGTGTGGCGATTACAGTATACAGGCACATGGACTTCAGAAAGTGAGCAGAGCTGCCCACATTATTTAATGTACAGAAAACACTGAGTGTCATCAGTTCATTTCGCCAGTAATACTCAGCATTTTCCATACTCAGGATTTCTGCTCATCTAGCCAGAGTGTGATTAGATGGCTCTCTCTGACAGCAGTGGAGGGAGGACAGTCAATCATGACTCCCTGCCACATGCATACATTCATGACACCCTTGTTGAAAAGATGTGTGTGTACTTGGCCAAGTTACACTCTGGATATGTATTTTTGAAAAGCCCTGTAATAAGTTACCTATTCATAACAGAGTCATGAACCATTCTGTCATATGGGTGCTTGTCAGCTTGTTACAGCTCATTTCAGGTTTATTAGTATTATTTCCAAGGCAGCTTGGCCCATAATCAGGAATGCTAAACACTGCTAATAAATCTCACCCCCATTTTCTTTCAAATTATATCCATGGCAAGAAGCTTGCCAGCTGAACCTATGTAGAAACTGTCTTTATAGCTATAACAACATACCATATGCCCAGTGTCCTTTGATTTGGTACCAGTATCACATAACACAGATTCCATGTAGTCACATGAAAGTTGTAAAATGGGAAAATCAACCTTAATTCTGCCATCCTATATATACAATCTCATAATATATAAACAAATTACAAATTTCACCAAAGAATGTTGTTAAATATGTGTCCAAAGTGAAATGAAACTAATTGCTTATCTGCTTACTGACACACTTCATAAACACATACAAGGAGGCAAATAAATAAGCAGTTTTTGCGACATCAGTTTCGTAATGATTTGTCCACATTTCTAATAGGTTTGAGTGACAGCAGTAAAAATATTTGGGGAAATGCACCATATCTGCCATGTAAACATACTTGCTCTGGGAATCCTATTTTTGAATTTCCACACTTCTTTGCAATGAAATGTTTGACCTTCATGATGTATTAACATACAGATTTTTTTTTTTAGATTTAATATACCGGTGAAATTGGGGCAGAGAACACAGATGACTGCCTCTGGGCCCTCAGGCTCCTGATTATCTCAGGATAACTGTGCCTTCCTGGAGTTGCTCAACTACTGCATTAACAGTCTTTACTGTGAAGAAAGCAGCATTAGATAAACATCATTCAGAAGGGTATCTCTAATTGTTTGAGCTTACAGAAATAATTTGCCCCAAGCATCAGCAGTAGATAGGTGCGGGTTTTCAGATCATCAAGAAATATCTTTGGTGAGTATCAACTCAGTGCTGTGTCATCCTCTCGTTTTAATTGTCACTGAGTGTATCACTCATTCTAATGTATTTACAAATCTTGATTGAGTTACAATAGTTAAATGTCAATACATTTGTAGCAGTTTTATAGGCTAGGGGAGTTACCTGTCTATTTCTGTGCTTGAATATCTCATGCAGAGACAGTAAAGGACATTTATTTATGCCTGGGTGTTGGCTAGTGCCAGCAACAGCTACCTGTAGCTGAGGATGGGACTAGAAAGATGTCACACTCAGCAGAGGCATCCCAGTAGGTATCTTCACTCCCCAGTTAAGCAGCCTTTTGAACCAAGCCTCCATCCTCCTGCTTGCAGTCATGACCAAGGGCAGATAAAGGGAGTGAGGAGCTTCTAAGCCTCACAGGGCTACCAAACAGATTCAGAACTGGCCATTAGCTCCATGGGAGCTGGAGACCTTGTGGCTGTCCTTTCTGTGTGCTGTTGATAAAGGGGTGTTTTGAAGATGACCCTCTTTGCCTCTCAGCTTCACATCTTCAGTGTCTGCTTGCTCCTCTTTGCACATCCACCATTTTGTCCTCCTGCATATGTCACCTAGATCTTCATATAAATGTCCTGTAATTTGCCTCCTGCTCAAGTGCAGAGGCTCTGCACCCTATGTCACTACATCTGGAGATCACAGCTCATGTAACTGCCAGCACAGGAAATGGATATATACCTTATAAGAAGATTGGCAAAGCAAAAGTGTTGGGGTGCTTGGAAACTCCAGCTGGAAGGTCTGTCACACATAAGTGAGGTCACTATTCCAGTAAATGACATATATTTCTGCTGTATGAAACTAGGAAAAGATTGGTTTCTTGGGACCTTTCTGTACTTGCAGATTATTTGCATCCAAATGAAATAGAAGTTGCTGATATTATGCTGGCAATATCAGATGTTCTTGTTTCATTTACTGAAAGACAAGTTCTGTTTTATTTCCCCATGAATAACAAGTTGGCCTGATGGCAGTTCCTGGATGTTGGCATCTATTTGAATACAGTAAAAATCAAAGTCATTCTAGGAGGGAAAGAAAAAGTACAGTTTGATTTATGATTTTTTTTTTTCTTTTTGGGTAGTTTTATATTAACCTGTCCTCAAAAATACTTTATTACTAACAATCTGAACATTGATATAATAGCTATAGCACTGACTTGCCATCAGAATCTATGTTTTATACACTGCTTTTATTTAGATCTTCTCTCTTGCTCTGTCTCCAGGAAATTTAGTTTGAACTAACATAGCTGCTTTTCTTTTCTTCGTTTATATGTGACTCAAAGTATTATACCTTATGTCAAAGTATCCATCACTCTCTGCATGTATGTATCAAAGCACATACATGTATACTAATATTTGCTATTTATTTATACAGAGCACAGTATTTTAACAACATAATACATACATATCCCTGTAGCATATATAATTATTATATAGGACTATGTAATAATAATAATAATGACTATTCTGTATAAATGTATGTGATGACAAAGGTCCCAAGAGGATTGTAACAACATGCTAGCTATTACTAGCGGTACTCACAGAGGAGAAATTAACCAAAATAATTGTATGCCTAAAAAAGTAGCTGTTCTGGAATTGTCATTATCATTAAAATTCATACCTTCCTTTAATCCAGAGAAATGTTATGAGCTAGAGAAACCCCATTGTTATTACCAACAGATTTCCCACAAGTTGAGAGATGCATGTTGTGAGCATTTATCTGTAGGCAGAAGCTACTGTACTTTTTAGAAAGACAACATGTTGCCACAGAAAGGCATTAATGCATCTGCTCTGACACTGTGGTTTGTGAACACTGATGGCTTCTGAAGCCTCTCCCCTTCCCAGAGCCAACACTCACAAATCTGCTGTAGGAAGAGATAAATAGTTAGACTTCAATCCCAGCCTGCTTCCACTCCTCTGAACGTCTCATTCAGAAGCACTCAGCTTTACAGGCATTTTATCCTGAGGCTTTTATCACTGAAAGGAAGTGGGGACTTGACTTCCCTGTTCCCACAGCCGGCTCCCCAGGTTGCACATAGATCTGCTGCCACATTAGACTGTAGTTGTGTTTCAGCAGCAAACATGAAATAGGCCATAGCTACAAGAAACAGAGAAAGAGGGATAATAACCTCAGCTGTTCTCAAGCTGAGATAGATCCATGAAGTGTTACTGGTATTTTGGTTGCAAGATGCCGATATGTGAACTTTTTTAAATGATACAAACTAATCTATTGTAATTATACTGATTAAAATGAGAAAGATGGCAGACCAAGCACTTTTGCATTGTAACTATTGGCTGGAAGGCTTTAAGGTCTGAACATAATTTGTTCGTTCTTTAAAAGATGTTTCTGTCAGTACAAAGTTTAGCAGTTTAACACTAACTGTGTTCTATGCAACATATATTCCTCCATCTAGATAAGCCAGGGGTCTGATCTCATACATACAACCAAACTAAAACTTTCAGAGCTCTGAGTGCACAAGGAATGCATAATCAGAGTTTAAGTGACTCAAGTCTTCAGCTCACAGCTGTCGTGAATATCCCTTAACAACATCTAATCCTAAGGCTTCCTCCCAGCTCAAAGGGAGAGGAAAAGATATTAATTAAGGGTGCTACGCCAGTTCATACCAGCCAGAGATCCAACCTAATAGTTACAGTCCACAATAGAAGAGTCTTGATGGAGATCTCCAGGATACATATGCTAATTATCCCAAAAGGTAATTACTGGGTGCAGTGGTAGGAGATGATGAGTACTCCTTACTCACACTGGAACCTGTGGGCCAAGTGAAAATGGTGCCAGCTCTTTTCCTACTGGCTGATAAAGTATTAACATGAGAATCAAAGATACTCAGCAATGCAAAGGAAAAAGCCCTGTATCAAACCTACATATCTATTAACCAGCAGCTTTTTTGAGCAGAGCAAGAATCTTCAGATTTATAATGATAGCCAAAAGGGATGCAAGAAACTGGCTGTTGGATTTCAGGTACTGAAAGATTTATCTCTTTGCCCAGTCACAGTGATCTAATATTTCTTCCAGGTTTCTCCAGTCTACATGTTCTGTATTGTGCCCACAAGGTTTGCCCTGTGATCAGTTCAAGATATCCATCTGTTGAAAGGATTCCTCTGGACCAGAAGACAACCTGGCAGTGTGGCCTGTTGCGGCCAACCTGCAGTTCTCTTGCCCAAGTGCAACAGCAGCTTTCCTGAATGCCCTCAGTACATTTGTGAGATAGGATGCTACAACAGGGTCTGGGGTTATGAATTTAGATTGAAGTTTACTCTGTCATCTAATACAGTATTTCTGAAAGGATTTAAGAGCACAAGCATGTAAGAATGCCCCATGCGGTCAGACCAGCGATCTTTCTGGTCCTGTATTCTGCCTTTGACACAGACGGGAGACATTGCACAGATAGAAGGGCGAGTGAGCCTTAACACTCTGTGGTCCATTCCTTGCATATACCCCCAGCATCCAGAACCATTGTACTGGGGGTGTTGGAGCGTACCTGGTGCTTTTGATACTCATTTGTGGACCTCTCACCTGTGTATGTGTTGGAAGTTGTTCAGTTGTAGTACAGTTGAAATCTGACTATATGTCTGAAAATAATTGAAAGCTTAGAGTAAGGTTTGCCACTGATGCTGTGTACCAAATAGTTGCAGTTTTAGCATCATGAAGACAAGTTATAGGGAAGAAATCTATTTCTCTCTCTTGCTTTTTGGATTATATATTTTCCCTTTAAACCCCTTGGTTCCATCTCTTATTTGTAGCACTTTGTCTTACTACTGTTGCTGTTTGAGTCCTGCAAGATTCCCAGTCTACCTCTTTGTACACATTTCCTTCTTTTAAGTTCCTGAATGTTTGTGTTTTTTTTTTAATATTGGATTTTCACTCTCTCTTGTCTGTTCTTTTCTGGATCCTGTACTCAATTCTCCTTTCATATGGCTCATCCATCTTCTAAAGTAAACAGCTTAGTGTCATCTACCTCATTGCGTTATACTGCATTTATTTCACAAAGATTTCTCAAAGTAGTTCTCAGAAAAAAATCATCTGTGACCCTTTGTGTTTAAACTGGGTATCATATGTGGCTTTTCATGTGGTTTTCTCAACTGAAAGGTGTGGGAAAGTGTTCACAAACAAGTAGTGCTGGCTTCTAATATGTGGGAGAGTTAAGATAGGTGCCTCCGTTTTTGTTACTGTTGACAGCAGAAGCACCATGTAAGATACAGAGTTACAGGGAAGGTCAAAGCCAAAATTTAGAGGTAATATCCCCATCTGGCACTGTAATCTCTTTTGGATCTTTAAATGTTAGTAATTCTTAGTGGCCAATTGAGGAAGCACCAGATCAGGTGCCTGCAACAGTCCCAGGATTTAGTGCCACAAATCCATCCCTCACTTGCAGGCAAGTTGTGCTCACTGTGAGATCAGGCTGCTGAGAGGTCACATCAGGACCTCTCCAGGAAGGACCAAGGCAATGTATGGGGTGTGTGTCTGGAGACATTGCTGTGAGGGCCTTGATGCCATGGAGGTCTATATGGTTGCCTTCCTCAGTGCCCAGGAAAGCACAGGGCACAGCAGAGGGTTTCCAAGGCTGGGCCCCCAATGACAGGCACAAGGGCAAGAGCCCAACCGGATCAGAGCCAGCAGCTCCAGAGTGTGCTGTGCAACATATTTCCTTATGCCTGGCTTTATGGTCATGCTGTTCTGCTACTGAGATGTAGTCAGTAGTTTTAAAGCTGCTTTAAGCTGGCTGTTTGTGATTGTGAGGAGTGGTGACACAGAGCTCTAGCTTCAGTCGCTGTCAGGTTTGCCACTAAGAGGAGTCTGGCAATATCTACAAGTTAACAGTCCTTTGTAATGAATGTCCATGTAAATCAGAACCTTAATTTAATAACTGATCTGCAGAAAATGTGTCTCCTTCTCTACCATGCACATTTAAAGAGTTCTGTCAATAAATTAAAAATCACCCCCCAATACTTTTCATTCCCAGGGATCACACAGCACCTCCAAAGTCTGTCTTACTGTCACGCTCCCAATCTGTTTTGCACTGCTGTTGAACCGAGCTCACACCTACCAGCAATTCTTCCAGAGTGCTACAAGTCAATTATAGGTCCTCCTAGGCCTGGTGCCTGTTCTGTTTGTCTTGAAATTAGTCCTCCAGGGATCTAAGCAGATTTGTCATTAAGAAGTAGATGTAGTATAAAGTGGTATCAGTGCAACTGCAGGAAATGTTAAAAACAAATGCATGTGTATTGTAAGAGCAGTGAAGCTCTCAGTTATACTTCTTGGCACAGTAGAGCATTGTGAGTCATTCAAAGCTTCATTTAATTTTGAACTTTTTTTCCAACTTTGTACAGTTCTATCAGCCTTCCCAATATGTCCTTCAACCCTAGACTCTGCAAGCAGCTCCATTCTGCAGATGCATCTTTAGGGAATCCTTGTGTAAGTTAGATATTATTGAAAGGTGAGGCTACACCTTGGGCACTGTTCTTCCCTAGCTGTGCTATGTGGGGGAAATATGCAAATGATCTCAACTTTTCAGTATCTCCTCCAGTGCAGAGAGAAGCTAGACCCATGTCCTTACTTCCTTCCTAGTGAAGGAGCAGACCCACTGCTTCATGCAGTAAAAAAAAATACTCCCCGTACAAGACCTTCCTTTAATTTTTTACTAGGGTATCATGGGAAGGTCAGATGAAATCTGGCCCTAGAGCGTTTAATCTGATTCATATTTTTGTATGGCTTCTTTCACTTAAACAGTATAGTAAAGCACGTTGCAGAGCAAAGGAGTGTTTGAGAAGCCTGCTAAAGATGTTGGGTTCATTAGAGTCACATAAGGCCAAATTCTGACCTTCAGGACACACCTTTCATTAGGAGTTATTTCATGCATCCAGGGAATGGAATTATCTTTTAATGCAGTCTTATCAAAGAGATTCCACTTGTCAGTTTTCTCATTTCTTTCCACAATTAAGAATGCTAGCAAAAGCCCTAGAACAAGTTCATTTTTCCTTTGATTTATTCCATGCCTCAGGCTTGTTGCTTAATTTCTAAAAATTCTGTATGACCATAGGAGAGCCCTGTTTCTGCTGGCAACTTGCAAATGGCTATCTTCTCCTGCCTTTGCTCTGCTGTAGAAACCAGCCCTTCTAACTATTTATTGGCCTCTGCAGAGCAAGAAGGAAGACATTGTTCCAGGAGGGGACCCACATGTTGGCGTTCATGGTGCAAGGTCTATCAATCTAAGTCACCTGGACCTTCTTTATGAAGACGCAGATGGAGAGTGGAAAGGCTTTGTTGTGTTACACAAGTGATACGGGACATTGGGGAGGCAGATGGTATCAGCAGGACAAAAAGAAATAGGCACATTTGCAGGTATAAAGTGCTAACAGCACAAGGCAGAAATGCAGCATCTAACATTCCTCAAACAGAAATGCAGCATCTAACATTCCTCAAACAGCAATTCTGCTTATTGGGAGATGGAGAAGAATGGACTACAGGAAGTGTCTGGACTCACATGCACAACACCTTACACTGCCAGCAATGAAGACAGAGTACTGGATGAGTTAGATCATTAGTTTGACTTAGTGGGACATACTGCTGCTCCTAATTATGACCTGATATTTGAAATTACTATTGCTTTTCAGTGAAATTTTCATAGCACTTGGTTTGTAGTAGCAATCATGAATCAAATGAAATAAGCAGAAGTCATGTTTGTCCTAGTTTTTATTGCCACAAGATAGAAACACACCCTGTGTGTTTCTGTCTTGTAGGTGTTCTTCTTTACTGTCCACTTACATTATGTCATGTAACTATTAGTGTCTCAGTCTGCGTCGAAAAGCCACTGCCTAAAAGGGAAAGAGGAAGAGAGAGTGAGAGAGCTGGAAGTAGATAAAGTACCAGATGCGGGATCATTCTTTTAAAATCCAAAAATTCTGTTCCAAGTGTTTAAAAATCTAGGTTTTATTCCAGATAGAAGGGTGATCAAGTCTGACACAGTGAGGTTTTTCAGACTCATATATTCTGTTATCAGTCTGATTTACTTCACTTAATCCCATTGGAAATTTTATCTGACCCAATTTTTTCAGCAGTGACTCCTATGGCAAGAACAAATAATAGGGGTGACCCTGTGCATTCCTGCCATATCTCTTTCTCTGTAATGTGGATTATTCTAGTTTCAGTCCACATTCGTCTGTGAAGAGACAAAGTCAAAGATCAGTTCAAAACAGCTGATACATTCCTGCAAATTCACATTTGGCAGTGCTGTAAGTGGGTAAATATTGCCAACATGTATTGATTGCTTCTTCTGCTTCAGCCAACAGACCCAAAGTTCTGTGCCAAGTATTAATTTTTTTTTGCAAATGACACCTCATATTGCCTGATGTTGCATGAGCTGTACCAATTCACTGCAAGCCTCACCTGCTCTGAGAGTGTTATTGGCACTATAGGGGATTCTACTCTTTTTGACAACAGATTTTATGAGTCCCCCTTTCATCCAAATTTAGCAGAGAAACAGACTGCTAATAGTGAGACTTGCAGTTATGGCCATTTGTCACATTTTAGGGAGTTGTCTATCTCCTAGTTTGCTGCAGAACTGCAAGTTGGAAACCTAATAAATTGCTTTCATCTCTCTGGGGCCGTTATTGCTTCTCTGTGTGTGTGTGTGCACTTGCGTGTGAGTGTTTGTGTGGGCACTTGTGTGTGCGCGTTTGTGTAACCTGATAAGATGCCTTATGGTCTATTCTGTTAATACATCTTCTGTGTTGCTCCTGCTGCAGCCAGCAGCCGAGCTGCCCTCACTGCTTGTGGTGGGTGATGGAGAATTCATGGAATTCAACAAGTGTCTGCTGGCTCAGCTGCTTTTTTATCCCCTGCAAAGGCTGGCCTGCAGTGCGGAGGAAAGCACGCTCTGCTCCAAGCAGCAATATTCTGGGTTGCTTGTGGTCTTCAGGAAGGCGTTGTTTCAGATTCAATGGCAGAGGGATAAAAGAAATATTTCCCCAAGGAAGTTCCTGGAAGAGGAACAGACTGGTTTTGTGAAAGAGCCATGGAGCTGGATGCTGTTGTGTTGTCTAGATATGGAAGCTGAGAAAAGTTTATTAAGTTATATTGTTCTTACAAGGATTATAAAATAATTACTCCTTCTAGTATGATGAAGTCTAAGGAGTCCATTATCAATGTCTTAGGCATTAGAGAAAAATGGCAGAGACATACTCATCTTTAAAAAAGACATAGGTTATTTCAAGAAGATGTGGGAATCTATTATTGCTGCTTTTGACATGACATTGGTGGTTATTGCAAAGACCTGTGTGAATAAACAAAATCAATAATGAAAGATGAATGCCTCCCTTTAACAGCAACTGCTGCATGAAGTAGTTCTTTTAAGAATCCTTTTCTGGACTGGAAGGTATACAGTGACTTATAAATGCTTTCACTACGGGTTCTTTTTCTGCCATGATCATTAATCAACTCAAACTTTCATCTAGCTTGCTGTTATGAAGAAAATCATGCCGCTTGTATGGCATAGCTGCAGTGTAATGAGGAAACTTCAGACTCTTCCTCTTCCCACCTAACTCTTCCTCAGTGCAAATGTGTAGTGGCAGCAAAGGATATGAGCTTAATAGCTCCTGGCCTAGCAAGTATTACTTCCATTAGCTCTTGGTACTGAGAATAGCCCATCTGAGAGATCATCTGTAAAAGTCTTGAATACCACCCCTTCACCTCACCTCACTTTTCCTGTTCCCCATTCCCCAAAATGGGCTTGAACTAGGAGTAATGTAACTCCATAATGTCACTCCTATCAGTTGCATCAGCCCCTCAAATAGAATAAATACCATCTTTAGTTTCAAAGTATTTGTGGTGCTAAAAGCCTCTGTTTGTTTCTTTTTTTTTTTTATTTTTAAATGAAGGGAAACTGAGGTAGAAAGGAACAATAGCATGAGGGACAG